CCATTCCCCGGCCAGCGAACCAGTGGCAGGTGGCGTGGGCCCAGCCCCTCCCGGCACCGATAGCGAAGCACCGTGTCCACCTCATAGCGCAGCCGCGGGCGGCCAAACATCTGAGCCAATGGGAGCTCGGGCGGTGGCCCACAGGACACTGAGGGGAGGGAGCACAGTTACAAACCAGGGCCTGACTCTGGGGGTGACAGTTCTCAGAACTGAGACGGGGAGGAGAGGAGTGGGCCCCAACATGATAAAAATGATCAGGGATTCCAAATGGACCCTTGTCATTCGTTGTCCCTCCCACAGTCTGGAGCCCAGGCTGGTGCCTCTGTGCAGCTTTGCACCCTCCTTTTTTTTTTTTTTTTTTTATTTAAGGTTTTCCCATGGGGGGCATGTGTTTTGCTAGAGAGACAGAGAGAGAGCGAAAGTGAGAAATCACCCCCCTGGGGGATGGTCATGCCACAGTCCCTGCTCGTTCTCCTGGGATTTTGGGCATGCAGGCACATGCACTGGGTCTCAGTTTCAAGCCACCAGACCCAGGACTTGAACCATGGTCCATCATGTGGGAGTCCAGCACCTTAACCAACAATCTACCTGCTGGCCCCTCCTTTTTTAAAAAAAAAAACAGTATTATTTTCATTTGCCAGAGGTGTGCATACTTATTAGAGAGAAAGACAGAGAGAGAGAGAGAGAGAGAGATTGAAAGCACCCCCTAGAGGGAATGGCCACACTGCAATCCCTTCTCCATTTTCCTCTTGGGAGTTTGGTCACACACACACTTTGGCCTGTTTCCCAAGCCACCAGGTCAAGAATTTGAACTGCACAGGCAGCCATGTGGGATCCAGCTGCCTTCTTCACGCACGCCAGCAGGTGGCTACGCTCTCCTATAAAAATCAGTCCCGCTCCCTACCCCAGCCGCCTCCTCACCCAGCCCCATCTTGCAGGTGTAGGACAGGTGGTAGTTGCAAGGTACATCGCTCCACTGTCCCTGATCGTGCCACACCATGACCACGCAGTCCTCTCCAGACAGGAAGTAGCTGTCAGGCTGCCCCGGGTTCCAGTTCTCATAGAGCTAGGGGACAGGGGAGGCTCACCAGGGCTTTGGAGGGAGTGGACTCAGGGATCTGGGGAGGAGAGGGAAGGCCAGGGATCTGGGGGTTGGTGGCCCAAGATAAATGGGCAGAAGAGGGCAGGGGCTTTGTGGAGAGGAAGAATGGGAACTTGAAAAGAGAGGGCCCTGAGGAAAGGAGGGGTCCCCAGGGAGGTGCGGGAGGGGCACGAAAAAGGGAGGGAGGCGTGAGGCTGAAAAGCAAGGTGGAGAGGGAATTGGTGGTCCTTGCGGGCGGGCACAGAAGTGACTGGAGGAAGCCGACTAGATGGCGTGAACGTCGGCCGGGGCCTCTCACCAGGGGGACGCCATCCGACCACAGGAAGTCGCCTTCGATGGTCCTGTCGTTGAGCCCAATCCACTGGTACTCCCGGTATCGATCTGGGGGAGGAAGCGCCGGGGAGACCAAGGTGTGCAGTTAGCTCCGTCGCCAGCAGGTGGCGGCCGTTCCCTGTCGTCGGCGGTCTGTAGGTGACCGCAGGGGAAGTCCTTCCTGAAATCCCGAACCCGCGCCTCCTGCGGGTTTTCTTACCCCTCTCCAACCTCTGTACGTGGGCCAGGTGGAAGGCAGGTGTGTGGGGGTGAGGGAAGAAAAAAAATAGCAAATCGGGCAAGCAAAGGGAAACCGGAAAGTGGAAACACTGAACGAGGCCAGAGTCTGGGAAAGCGGATGGAGGTGGGAGAACCAGAGATGCGGAGGGACAGCCCAGCTCGGACACGTGTGATTTCCTGCTCCAGCCCCAACCCTCGCCTTCCAGAAGCCCCCTGCGGAAGTGCAGGTGGGGAGGGGGGAGGGGGAATGAGAAAGTGAACGGAGAGGGGAGCGAGAAAGGAGTGCGTGAATGCAGGACGCCTGAGGCCGCCCCGGCCCTCCCGCCGGCCCTGCCCACTGTTGATGAAGTCCTGCTCCTCGGGCGTGCTGATGCTGGCCAGGTGCGCGCCGTACATCCGGCACTGGGTCTCCGCCTCCTCCCAGCTCCTTCGTGTAGAAAAGTGCTTGTAGCAGGCGCCTTGGAAGGCGTCCCATCCCGGGCTGCAGAAGCGGAGGCCTGGGGCACAGAAGGGTGGGTGGGCGTCTTAGGCCTGAGGAACTTGGAGCCCAGAGGGCGGGCCGGTCTCCTGGAAGGGGCGGCCCCCTCCACCTCCACCAAGGGCGAATGCCGAAGGGCTTGTAGAGAATGGGGGGAGTTGGCAGCAGCCTGGAGGGACCTTCTGCCAGGGTGTTGGTGACTTCTCTGAGTGATGGGGACCAGGTCCAGCCTGGGTCTCTGCCTCCTGTAGCCTAAAGAAAAGAGCAGCACCCTCCTCTCTTCCCGGGAGAATGGAAAGTGCCTCCCCAGTGCCAGGGTATGCTCGGCCCTCCCCTCCTCTACCACACACCCTAAGAGAGGCATTTTGGTTCCCCTAGGTGGGGAAATTGCCCGAAGGGCTCAGATGAGCCACTTGCCAGATGCGAGAGTTCATTAAGGACAAAGCTAAAGCCTGTGCCCCCTCCTCCCTCTGGAACTAACACTGTGGCAGGGGCCAGGCTTCAATCTGTACCCTCCCCCACCCCCAGACACTCACCCACATCGCACAGGTCACCCCCATAGCCAGGCAAACACAGGCAGCGCACACCCTGTTCCTCCTCCAAGCACGTCCCACCATTGTGGCAGGGGTTGGGGACACAGTCACCTGAGGGGGGAGAGAAGTGAGGTGGGGAAAGCAAGCCTGTGTCCTCCAGGAGAGGAGCCAGGGGGCCCCCAGCCCTGACCTTCCTGTCCTGGGGACTATCAGGGCCCCTTACAAGTTCTCCCGAGAGCCTGTCTCTGATCACAGCCAACCCTGAGGTCTGAGTTTCTTTTTTTCCCCTCTCCCACTCAGCACTGGCCAGGCCCAGAGTAGGCCATTGTCATGCCCAGTGTGGGCCCACCCTGTGGGAGGGGACCAGCAGCGACCTCAGGACCAGGTCCTGCCCTAGGAAGAGGAAAGCTACTGAGCAGTCTTCATGTGGCTTATCTGGCCCCGGGCTCTTCTGTGTGACACTGGGCAGGTGTCTCCCTCCCTAGGCTTGGAGTTGAGTCCCGCCCACCCTCGCCTGTGCCAGCACAGCTCTGTACAGTGGGTCTGGTGTTACTGGGGGAGGGGAGAGGACAGTGACCACAGCAGCAGTGGGTGTTGCCTCCCTGCCCTGGTATGGTCCAGGTGAGGATGGCCCGTCTTGCGCCCACGGGCAGTCGGACAGCCCAGAGCTGTTAGTCAGACCCCCTTCTCACTGCGCCTGCCTGCTCCCAGACGCAGCCAGCTGCAGCAGCTCCCATGGCCCTCACCTCAGCTTTCTCTGCCCTTTGATCTCCCCAGACTCTCTCCCTAACCAGGCTTCCCCCCTGCCCTGCCCACTTCAGTTGATCTGCAGGTTCCTGGCCTGGAGTCCATCTCCCTCCCTCCTCTGGCTCTTCCTCCAGGCAGTCCTCTTAGACTAACACACTACTCTGAAGGCCTTCGAGCTACAGTCTAGATCCAGCCCCATCTGGCTAGGCCATCTGCCCTCTCTCTGGGCTTCATCTCTCTAGATCCTGCTGTGGGAGGGGGCTGCCCCTGGGCCATGCCTGAGTGCTGGAGCAGTGCTCAGTGTCCACTCCTGGGAGATGGGCAGGAGATGGGACAGCTATGTAGGAGGTAACACTGTCCTGGGGCAGTTCAGACCCTACTATCCAGCCCGAGCAGCCCCAGCCATGGCCCACAATGCTTCGCGCTGGCCTGGTTGCAGATCCCACTGCCTGGTGGGGTTGGGCAGGGGGTGGGGAATAGAAACTGGAGTGGATTCAAAGGGTTTTGCTGGGATGACCTAGCTGTTTTGGGTGAAATGAATCAGCTTTTCCAGCACACTCCCCTTGTCATCTCCCCTCCTGCCAATAGATTCTTCCCAGTGCTGGCTGCTGCCCTGGCAAGGGAGGAGGTATTTTATTTAACCCATTGAGCACCAGGCCCCACAGGGGCAGGAGTCCTGGACCCCTGCCATTCCTTACATTTCCTCTGCTCCCTCCTGTCCAACCCTCTAACCCTGGGGACAGACTCTCAAACGTGGGCCTTGGTCCCACTTGGGCTGCAGAACCTGAACCCAAGGTGTAGAGTAGGGTGGAGGAACTCTTCTGGGACTCATCTGTCTTCCTCTGTCCCCTGTTGGTCCTCCTATACAGGCCCCGAAAGTTCATCCTTCCCTCCTGTTGAAATAGCAGGCCAGGACCTCTGTCTTCCTCCAGGTAACTGCGGACACCTCCCTGGCGTTCATCGCCCCACAGTGGTCTGCCTAACCCCGCAGCTCGGCCCAGCTGAGAGCTCACGCCTGAAATGGTGAGCTGGGGTGACACAGGGCCCCAGCTGGGCCATCTAGGAGATGGGTCCTGGGACCGGGAGGATCCCAGCTGTCCCCAGGGGCCTCCCTGGAGAAGCTTCACCTTCCTGAGTGGAGTATGCAGGCCTTCTCTCAGACCTAACTCCCCAGCTCCCTCCCTCCCTAGCCCTCAGCCCTCACACACACCCCTGTGTCTTCTCCACACTCGGGAGATGGGATTGGAGTTCGCTGGGCTTGGGGAGGGTGGATTCATTCTTCCTCAGGGGTAGGGTGGCCATTAGTGCTGGAGTTAGTGGAGGAGAGGGTATGAAAATTAGAAATCATGCCCCTGCTGGAACGTGGGGATGGAGGGGCAGGGGTGCCTGGATGCCAGGTCACTGCCTCTGTGCTGAGAGCTGTCCTCAGCCACTGCTGTGCATGGGAGGCACCAAGACAGGTCAGAGATGACACAAATGCCAGACACCACAGCCCAGGCTTGTCGGTCTCTCCATCGGGAGTGAGGGGCCATGACACGGACACTCCCACAGAGTGCTGGGTGATATGTCTGGGTCATGTGGACAGTCACATGAGGGCTTTCAGCAGCCGGGAAGGAAGGTGTAGACAGGCCTGAGAAGGGACAGCACGGGGCAGTGACGCTGCCAGGACAGGAAAGTGTGGAAGTCAGAGATGAAAGAAGAGACAGAGACACAGCGCAAGGAGAAGCCCACAGAGCTCTCCGTGACACAGACGCGGGGAATGAGAGGGCAGACAGCTGGAGACGGACACAAGAGGGTGCCAGAGTTTGGTTACAAAGCGGTTTAATAGAGATTTATTTCCAAGGCTTGTTTTCCATGAAACAGTCAAAAAAAATACTTCACAGAAGTAGTGGCTTAAGGCTCTGTAGGGATAAGTGCTCTCTTAGGCCCTGGAGGGCAAGGGATGGGGATGGCTCCTGGGCTGCCCTGACATGTGTGTGAGGGGGTAGCTGAAGGGGTGGCACATGGGAGGCAGAGGGGGCAGGGAAGGCGGGCCTGGCTGTAAGGACAGCAATAGGTGCCTCCCCAGGCACCCCAAAGAGAAGAGGGTGCTTATGTGGCTGGTGGGATGTGAGCCGCAGAGGAGGGCCGTGGGCAAGAGAGGGTCGCAGGTGATGAGTGGTGAGCTGGGGTTACAGGTGAGGAGTCAGGGCTGGGGCAGATGTCACAACTCCAGGTAGGCATGGTAAGAGAATGAGGGTGAATGGCAGGAGAGTCTGGGGTGGCGGTGGGTTAAATGACCACAGGTCAGGTGACCCAGAGCTGCAGGGGGAAGAAAAGAAGGATAAAGAGAGAGGACGAGCCTTGCACAGAGTTACCTGATGAGGGCGCCACGGCCACTCCGCCTCGGCTGGCGCTGTCAGTGGGCAGCACCGGCTGGGCCCGCACTGAGGTCTCTGCAGGGGCAGTTCTTCCAGCACTCTCTTCAGAGGGGGCCTCCAGCTCCCTGGTACCCTCAGGGGTCTGTGTGGCTGGAAGCAGGGAAGGGGCTTCTTCGGAGCTCCCCGTCTCCTCACTCTCTCCTCGAGGGACCCCAGAGAGCTCAGGACTCCCGATCTCCTCCCCCTTGTCTCTCGCCCCAACTGGAGTGGGAGGTGGCAGGGATGCCCTGGGCGTGGGCAGAATCTCTGTAGGTGGTCCGCGGACCCTCGGAGGCCTGGGAGCTTCTGCTTCCCCATCAGGAAGTGGCGATGCACCAGGCTGCAGGACCGCCCTGGCTGGTGGGGAAGCCTGGGAGAGCGACTCCTCCGGGGCCAGCTCGGTGGGGAGAGGGGTCTCAGGGCCTGGGCTGCTGAGCTCGCTGGGCCATGCCCACAGGGCCTCGTCCTCCACCTCCTCCTCTTCTTCCTCTTCCTCCTCTTCCTCTTTGTATTTCTCTTCTTCCTCCAAAGCCTTGCCTTCTTCTGAGGACTCCGTGGGCGGTACAACGGATTGGGTTTCAAATTCTGGGCAAAGCACACACGATTCAGCACCAGGGACAGCACCCACTGGAAGCCAGGAAGGAGGAAGGGGAAGGGGTGAAAGTCGGAGCTGGACAGGGCGGGGGAAGGGGAGGAGCCCGTCCTGGGGAGGGCTGGTCTTTGCTCCACACTGCAGGAACCTGAGCTGCACTGTTAAGGCAACATTGGAGAAGGCTCTGCGAGCTGTCAGTACTCGGGAAAACACGGTCCTTGCATCCCCCTCGCCCAGTCAGTCAACACCCTCTATGTGATCTGAGTAGCTCAGGTCAAGGGAGACCAAAGAAGGGAGGCCCCTCCTTCCCAGGGAGCAGCTTCTCAACCCAGACATCTCTGGGTCGCAGGAGTTAGCTGGAGGTGGAATTTACTGGAAAGGCAAAGGTTGGGAGGACAGGAGGGAAGCCCTGCACCACTGCGCTGCTGAAAAAGTACAAGGCAGAGGCATTCCGGCCATGATTCTGGCTCAACCTGGGCTTGCCCTTTCTGTGCCCAGCTTCTCTCAGGCAGAGACGCCCCAGGATGAGGGACTGGAGTTACCTAGGAGGGTCCTAGGGGCCTCTGCCGGGTCTTCTGGAGTGGAGCTTCCACCGCCTCCATCCTCCACGATGGGAATGGAGTAGATGGCCCCTCGGGACTCGCTCTCCACAGCTTCCTGGGGCAGCTGCAGCTCCTCCAGGGTCTCCGTCACTGTGACGATGGCCTCCAGCGCATCAGAGGCTGGGTCAGATGCTGAGTTGGAGGCCTCAGGCATGGCAGAGGGCTGGGCAGAGTCTGTGGCAGAGGAAAGAGCCCATGGGAGGCTGCTTAGGTTATCTGCCCTCCCAGATCAGGCTGTACATGAAGGATCTGGGTTAGACTGTCAGAGACCAGGGAATTCTCTCGATCCTCTCGCATCTCCCCTGAGGAGGACCCTCTGGGGCCCAGAGAACACCCCAGAACTTTGTCATCCATTCCTCAAGCATTCATTAAGGGCCTACTATGTGTCGTGCCAAGCATTCTTCTGGGCACTAAGGACACAGTGTAGAACAAAACAGCAAACAGCAGGCCCTGGAAGGAATGACTCTGTCGTGCAGAAAACAGACACATAAACCTATGTTACAACGTTACAATGTAAAGAACCTTGGCCAGGTAGAGCCCGATGGCGGGAAGAACTACTTCAGAGTCAAGAAAGGCTCAGGTGAGAGATACTCCCTAGAGTGAGGGGATGGAGGCAGGAGGAGAGACAGAATGACCTCATGGCCTAGTGACCTTGAGCTGAGGATGAGAAGTGGGGGTCACAGGAGAGCTGAGGGCAGAGTGCAGGATGGACATTTAACACGCACCACCTGAGGACCTCAGTGTTGGGGCATGAGGGATGGGAAGGGGCCACTCTCTTCTGGGATCTGCTCCCTTCAAATTACTAGAGGGTTAGAAAAGATGCTTTGCCCTCGTGCAGAAAAGCAATGCAGTGAAGGTGCAGTTGGGCTAAGAAAGGCCCAGGGCCATCCGTGCTCATCGGGCGAGACAGGACAGCATGTCCCTGGTCTTGTCGCCACTCCAGTGAGCTTTACTCCGTACCAGACAAGCAATCTGCGACCCTGCAGCCACAGTCCTGCGTTTGCTCCTGGGTCCCATCACCCCCTCCCTCACTCCTCTGATCCAGCCTCCCTGCATTTCTTCCCAGAACAGCACATGGTGCCTGAGCATAATCATACGATTACCGTTGGTGTGATTGTCACCATCCCTGTCCTACTAAGTCTTTCCACATGGGCCATCTTCCTATGGGCTTCACCCCACTACCTTTCCCCAGTCCCAGGCCAAAGAAGTCCACAGGTCTGTCCCAGGGGAAGTAAGGCTTTTCTCTGTCTCTCCTCATCCTGGGAGTGAGGCATCTTGTTTTCCCTCAGACTGGGGGCTCCCATGAAACAAGCAGGGTCTTCTTTGGCCCGGGGCTCCCTGGGAGTCAAGGTTATGTCTTCTCCCATTTCCGCCTCCAGCCCTTGCATTAGCGCTGCAAGCTCACAGTTGGGGCAAGGACCCACATGCTTCCTGGCAATGCCTCCCTGACCGTCAGTCACCCTGGACCTGAGCCCTGCACCTCTGGGGTCCCGGCACTGCCTGTTCTCCTGCTCCCAGTGTAAGATGTGGCAGGAAGCCATCTCTATGCTGAATTGTCCTCCTAGAAGTCCCACTCCGTGTGGGAGGAATTATGTCTGTCCATCAGTATTTGGTGCTTAAATATGACACCTTCTTTAAGCTGCAGGTTTTGGAAATCTTGAGAGCTCTTGAAGGCATTTGGTTAACTGGAAGAACCTAAGCAGATCACTCATTGGACCCGGAGAGTGTCAATCATCTCTGCTTCACCAATAAGGTGACAGGAAATGGAAACTTACACTATGCAGAGATAGTTTTGAAACCTAAAGGGGGTGGGGGTGGGAAGGAGATGCAGAGAGGTGACCACCACTCCTGAGGCCACGCAGCTGAGTGAGACCAAGCCAGGGTTCATGCACAGAATTAGAACCCTAGACTCCAAGTAAGGTCTCACCAAGACTCCTTTGGGGAAATGGCAAAGTCCTGAGAGAAAGTGGTCAGCGCTGGGGTGGGACGTGCAGGCTCACCTCGGAAGCAGTAAACGTTGAAGCGGCTGTGCTTGTTGGGGAAGCCGGTCTGATTGGGGAAGAGGAAGAGAGTCTTGACACCAGGCAGGCCCCCACCGCAGCGCTGGCTGGGTGTGACGATGGGGTAGCGCACGCTGCCGTCAGCCAGCCAGCCCGGGCTGCAGCGGTCCAGGCCGCCGTCCCAGGCTGCATACAGCTGGCCTGTGGTGGCGATCTCCGCACCACGCTCCCGGCAGTAAGCCCGGGCCTCCTCCAACGTCAGCTTGTCTGCAGGAGCACCTAGGAACAGTTCTCCTGGGTAGGGAAGAGGAGGCTGGTTACCAGGCCGTCCGCCCGTATTCCCAGAAGGACCTGGGCAAGCTTCTCCGGACCTCCATCCACATCCCCATCTGTGGCATGGGGTCAGCTCCCCCACTTCATAGACTCCAGGTCCATACAGAACCTCGAGATGGTTATTAGAGCTCACAGGAACCTGACCCGACTTCCTGGTTCTATAGAAGCTGCCCAGCAGGTAACAGAGGAGTTAGAACTCGAACTCAGCATCCTGCCGCCTTTCTGAAGCTTTGGTCATGGTTATGAACTTGTCTCCGGGACAGTGTTTGGAGGGAGGAACACGGATTATCTCTGTCCCCCTGCTTGCCCCCTTAAACACAGGAGGGACAATGCGGTCCAGCAGAGGCCCCAGGGGGACCTAGAGCTCTTCCCCTGGGGACCCCTCCCTCCCAATCACCATTCAGGTCTTCGGCGTAGCAGTAGACATCATACAGGTCATCGGGGTGCACCACTCCGTAGTTGCGGACCCCCGGGAAGCCATCCATGTCTCCATAACAAGCCTCTCGTGGGGTCTGGATGGGGTACCTTGGAGGGCAGATGGGACTCAGCACAGATGCCTTCGCCAGGGTGCCTCTCAAACCGACCTGCTGGCTCGCCCTACCCCTCGGTGCAGTCCATGTCGGTGGCCTGCCCATCCCCCCAGCTCTGCAGGGGTGCACGCCAGCACAGGGCCCTCACCCGTCCTCCTCAGACCAACCACATTCCTCAGAGGCTAGGAGCCCTGTAGACCCAGCCCCAGGCAGGAGGCTGTCCCCAGACACTTCACAGACAAAAGGCAAGCCCCTGGTCCTCAGTCCCAGCGCACCTGACGGTCTGGTCGGACAGCCAGCCGGCATCGCACTGCTCGTAGCCCCCCAGGTAGGCCGCGTAGAGCTGCTCAGGGGTGGCGATGCGGGCTCCGATGCGGGCACAGGCCTCCTGGGCCCCCGCGAAGGAGAAAGCATATCGGGCAGAGCCCTCCCGGTAGAGAAAGACGACCCCTGAGGGGCAGAGAGGACTCCTGAGCCGGGTGACCACCAGCACACGACCTTCTACACCCTCCCGGTCACTCCCCTGGGCACAAGGGGTAAAGTCCAAATTGCACTGGCTTTACAGCATGAGGGACGGAAGCGGGCTGTGGGCCCAACTTCTGTACCTGAAGACAGGCTAAGGAAGGCCCCTGTTTCCTACGCATTTTCCATCTTCCATCTCAGCCCGTGCCATCGGGTGCCTCTGCCTCCCCAGTGCGGCCTGCCGGGGGCAGGAGTCTTCCTCTCCCTCCAGGAACCTCTCTACCCCTGTCCTCTCACCTTTCACCTTGACCTCCACAGCGTCACTGCTGTCGTCGATGCCGTGCTGGACCTCGCAGCGGTAGATGCCGGAGTCGTTGGGCCGCAGCTCGCTCAGCACCAGGGAGACGTCGGTGAGCGACGCGGGGTAGGCGGGCAGCGCCACGCGGAAGCGGTAAGCCTCGTTCACCTTGACCCGCAGGCCCCGGGCCACCAGCACCTCCGCCTCCCGGCCCCCGGACAGGAAGGTCCACTTGACCCGCGGGGAGCCCAGCACCGCCCGGCGGCTCGACGGCGGCCTCAGGTAGTGGACGTGGCACGGGATGGTGAGGGCACCGCCCAGCACGCCCTGCAGCGGCGCGTTCCCAGCGATGCGCACGCGGAAGGCGCGGTCCTCTGTGGGGGCGGGACGGGCTGGAACTTCGCGCTGTGGACTCCAAGCCTCTCCCCAGGATTGCACCTACCTGGCTCTCCAGATTCCTAGCCCCGCCCCCTCAGGACCCACCAGGACCAGGGGCCTGCAGACTCACCTCTAGGTCTTCGCAGTGCACCCTGCAGTCTCCATATTCGTACCCCGAAGTCTCCCAGTCAATTCTGCCCCCAGGATTTCTAAGCCCCATCTCTGAACCCTCCAGCCCTATCTTCAGTTTCAGTCTGTTCCCTTCCGACTCCTTCGGGGTTTCTCCCAATTCCACTCGTCCCCCCTCCCCAGCCCCATCCATTTGTGCCTGCCCAGGACTGCAGCCCCCAACCTAGACCCCTGCAGTCTTGCTCCCAGTGTCCCTCCCCAGCCCTGCCCCCAAGATGTCCCACCTACCAGAAGCCCATCCCAGTTCCTTACCCCCAAGTGTCCTTAACTGGACCCTTCCCCACAATCCTAATTCCATCTCCTCTTGGTCCCCCAAGGCTGGAAGCAGTTGGTTAGGGCTGAACCATAGGGGAGCCACCTCTACCATAGGGGATTGCAGGAGACAGACCAATGACCCAGGGGGGCTGCATACCTGAGCTGTCCCCTTCCAGAACATCAGCTAAGGCTGCAGGGACCTGGGCCAAGGCCAGGGCTGTCAGCAGGGGCAGGAGCAGCCGGGCCATGCTGCAGGCCAGTGGAGGCACTTGAGGAGGAAAGATGGGGTCAGACGTCAGGATGGACTTACCCTGCCTCCCTCCCACACCCACGTGGGTTCGTACATGTCCTGGCCCCAGAAGCCCACCCCCTACCCCACCATCCACTCTGTGTCTGAGCCCTGTCTGCCTGCCAAGGGATTCCTCCTCAGAGCCAAGACTTGGGTCCTAGTCAACTTGCTGTGTGACCTAAGCCAAATCCCTTACCGTCTCTGGGCTTTTTATAAAAGAACACCATTACTCCCACCTCCCCAGCTGAGATGAGGCTACGTGCTTTGCGAGTGCTTTGTATCCTGACACCACGCTGTACAAACGCACGGCAGCAGGCACACAGAAGTAGCACGACACATGCCCGCGGCACCAACGGCGGGTGCTGTAACACTCAGAGTTCCATCTGCCCTTCCCAGTCCCAGAGTCCCTCCTCGAACCCAGAACCTCCTTCTCATATAGTACTCCTCCCCTACCTGTCCCTTCCTTCCAGGATACCATGTCCTCTTGACCTCCTCCAGGAAGGACTCCTGGGTTGAACTCAGGTAATTCTCCTCTCTAGACCATCTCCTTCTCTGCCTCTTCCCCACCATTACTTATAAGGAAACTCTTCTCTCCACTCCCAACACCCACTACTCCCCCCACCCCCCACTTGGCTGCCTCCTTCTGTCTTTCTCTTGGCCTTTCCTTTCTGCCTGGCACGAGCTTTCCCACCGGATCCCCTGGCTCAGAAACCAGCTGGGACAAAGCCCCTGTCTCTGCCAGTCTGGCCCCCATCCAGCCTCTCCCTTCCCCCACTGCACCTTTTGTGAAAGCCCTGGGCCAAAGGGTGAACTAAGGGGGGTAACAGAGGGGACACGCCCTCCTACCACGGGCCACCAGAAGCTCTAGAGCCCCACATATTTCTCTGAAGGCCTTGAAGCACTTCCGTGCTCATGTGGCCTCCACAGTGGAGAAATGTGAGAGGAGAGACAGAGGCCCAGAGGGGAAGGGGCGAGGTCTCCTGCAAAGCCAAGTCGGATAGAGCGGGTGTCCAACCTCATATTTAGGGATCGGGCTAGCCTTCCCAGAGCACGGGGAGGCAGGGCTGCCATAGCACTGGCTAATGATGAGCAGGAGGGATGGAGGGGAGACCGCAGGCAAGGCTTCCCCCACAGCAGGTTTACCCCCACTGCTGCCTGCTGCCACTCATGGTGCTGTCCCATCTCAGGCCTCCTGCTGCCCTCAGGCTTTGCCTTCACACATATCCCTCCTTCCCTGAGCCTAAACGGATGGGAAACCCTCTTCTCCCAGATCCTCCAGACTCAGCTCACCTGCCTCCCTGACTGTAACCTCACTCCTGCCCTGTGCATGGCGTCGTCTCTCAGGGTCAGAGCTGGGGGAGGCACAGGAGCCAGAGGCTCAGGGCCCGTCTGACCTTTGAGAGGGAAGGCGTACTTGGTGGGGCCGGATCAGAGGGCACTGAGGCCCAGTCGGCATGGCGGAGTTGGAATGAGGACTGTCTGGCATGAGCACTGGTGCTGGGGAGACTGTTTGTCTTGCGTTGGAGCTGGCCAGGCCCCCTCCTGGCGCTCTCCCTCCCTGCTCTCTGGGCCGGAGCTGGAGCCATTCACAGACCTGGCTCCCCGCTCTCTGACAGGCGGCCCAGAAACCCATATAGTTGGAGTCACTCGGGGGCCTCCACCATGGACCAGTCCTTTCACCTCTGTTCTGATGGTGGGAGAATGAGGGAAGAGGGTCTGAGGCCAAGCAGGACCTGGCCGTTCTGGAACATGGAAGCCCCCCACTTCCCAGAATGGGAGTCAGGAACTAGGGTGGCCAAGAGGGTAGGCAGGCCGGATGGTTCTCAGCCCTGTCTCCTCTCCCCACCACAGCACTGAGCTCGGGCCCCAGCCCTGCCTGGTGCACTTGGAGCTCCGAGGAGACTCAGGCGGCCCCTCCTCCAGCAGCAGGCTCGGAACCCAGGAGTCCAGGCCCTGGCCACCTGGACCCCACACATCCACACACCTCCTCTTTGTCTTCTCCTCCAGCGCTCCATCACTAACCGTGAGAGCTCAACTGTCAGGCGTCGTCAGCCCCCCCCCCCCCCCCGCCCACGCCCCCCTCCCCCTCCTCAT